CTTTTCCCTCTAGTTGGCCAACAAAAACCGTGTGGACCCTGCCAGATTAATTGTCAAAACTGATCAAATCTCGACCTAATCCAGCCCCACACAGACTACAGAGGCAACAACCAGCAGGCCAGCCATGATCCCACCCTCCCTGACACTGAATAGTTTCTTTGCACACTTCGATACACCTGGCAGCAGAGGAACTATACAACTCCCTCAGCTCGAGGAACAGCACGAGCCTCTCGTGCTGCAGCTACACCAGGTGAGCTCCAGCCTGAGGAGGATCAACACCAACAAAGCTTCAGGACCAGACAGGGTGTCAGGCCAGGTTTTGAAGCTACTGTATGTGCTGACCAACTTTTTTTGGACATTTTTAACCTGCCCCTGCATCTTACTTCAGTCCCTGTGTGCCTCAAGTCCACCATCATTGTGCCTGTGCCCAAGAAATCAGCTGTCACCTGCCTCAATGGTTACCGCCCTGTTGCTCTGACACCAGTAATTATGAAGTGCTTTGAGAGGATCATTCTAAAGCACATCAAGGATGTCATCCCTGTTGGTCTGGACAGCCATCAGTTTGCCTACAGAGAGAACTGATCAACAGAGGATGCGGTCTCAATAGCATTACACACAGCCCTGTCCCACCTGGAGCATCCTAACACTTATGTCAGCATGCTATTTGTTGACTTCAGTTCGGCATTTAATACTGTAATCCCAGACAAACTGGCACTGAAACTGCACAATCTGGGAATGCCTGCAATGATGTGTCATTGGATTATGGACTTCCTCACTAACAGGCGTCAAGTGGTGAGAATCGGAAGCTGCACATCATCCACAATGGTCCTGAACACAGTCACACCACAGGGCTGTGTGCTCAGCCCAGTTCTCTTCACTCTGTTTACCCGTGACTGTGATGCCATTCACCCCACAAATACAGTAGTGAAGTTCGCAGACACCACCGTAGTGGGTCTCATCTCAGACAATGATGAGACTCATTACAGAGAGGAGATCCAGCACCTGACAAGGTGGTGTTCAGATAACAATCTTGTCCTGAACACCAACAAGACTAAGGAAGCCATTGTGGATTATAGGAGGTCCAGGAAGACAAAATATGCTCCTCTTTTCATACATGGGGAGGTGGTGGAGCAAGTGGATAACATCAAGTTCCTGGGCATCCACATCACATCTGACCTGACCTGGTCTCTGAACACATCCTATCTGGTGAAGAAAACCCAGCAAAGGCTTTTCTTTCTCAGGAAGCTGAAACGCGCTGGTCTCTCCTCTCAATTGCTCGCAAACTTCTACAGAGCGACAGTAGAGAGCATCCTCTGTCTCAGTGCGACAGTGTGGTACGGGAGCTGCACTGCACAGGACAGAAAGGACTTGACCCGGGTGGTGAGAACAACTCAGGGCATTGTAGGGAGTCCTCTTCTGGATCTGGACTCACTATACACTCACCGGATCCAGAGGAGGGCCGGACGGGTTGCTGCAGACCCCACCCACCCAGGCAACAGTCTGTTTGTGCCACTTCCCTCCAGGAAAAGGTACAGGAATATAAAGACTAAAACAAACAGACTGAGACACAGCTTCTTACCCAGAGCTGTGAAATCAATCACCCCCCCAACCCCTAGTCACACACACAACCTCCCCCCATGGACAGATACAGAACACTGGACCTCACACCTCTTCCTAAAGACTGAGATTTGCACTGAGCTGCACCTTATAATGTTACTACACTCTTGCTGCTAACATGCTGCTGACTTGATTAGGTCTCATACATCCCTTTTTATTTGTTCATATTTTTATATTTACTTATACAATTGTGCGTTATGTAAATAATATGTCTTTTAATCCGAGAGCTGCCGGAAAAAAGTTTGTTGTGCTATGCATAATGACAATAAAGATTCTTGATAGTGTGATGTCAGAGAGCTTGGCTGAAAGCCAGGAATTTATGACTTAAATGCCTGGGCCATTAAAGTTTAGCTGGGCTCAGCTAAGAAGGGATGTGTACTGAGGTCTTGATGGCACATTTCTTTAGCAATTCAAGGAGTGATGTTTCTTCTTTCAAATTTGTCTAGGAACATTTGTTTGCCACTGATAGGTGAAGTCTGTGAGTGCTTGTTTTTGCATAGTTCTTCCCCTTTAAGATAATAAAGGTGTCCACTTTAAATATTATGTAAAGCAGGTTTCCTGGCGAAAGAGTCAGTTGAAGTAGGGCAGTTTAGGACTGTTTGCCTTCTGAATGTATAAGGCAAGATTTTCTTCATTGTAGTGACCCGCTGATAGGCTTCTTCAAGAACAAAGACACCTTAGAAAGCAATGGCCTTCGGAATAAAAATCCCTCCTGCTGTTTTCCATGATTTAGGGAAGCTTCTTCCATGATACTGTGATAAGCCTCCAAAAAAAAACTTGACATGTCTGGAGCATATTTATATATTTTACAGGGCACGCAGTTAGGACCAGGGGCTGATCCTGCTCTTGCTCACCTAAAAGCATTTCCACTTCTCTCAATGTTTAATAAGGAGAAAGGTGGCACCTTGAACGTGCCTAAAAGAGAAGTAGAGGCTTATGATGCATGCAGCTAAAGATAAAGGACAGGATGTTGGGTTTGTCAGTAGATATGCCTGGGTAGTGGAACACCAAATCACCAACACTGAGAAATGGAAATGGTAGTTAGGCCAGCAAGAGCAGGATCTTTGGTGTTCATATGGTGTTCTACTGTTCCAGTGGGGGCCATATCTACTGGCAAACCTAGTTTCCTATCCCTATCTTTATCTGCATGCATCTTTTCTAAGCAAGCCTCTAGTTCTCTCCCAGGCACTTTCAAGGTGCCACTTTTCTCCTTATTAAATAGTGCCTTGGTGAACTTGTACGGATCCTTATAAAAACCTAACCTAGCATGTTCCTTTTTCCACCTAGCTTTTCTAAGCCTTTCTGCTTCCCTTAGATTTGACAAACCTAGATTTCAGGTCATTTTGCAACATATTAATGCTGTCTCTTTCACTCTGTTGCTTTTCTGTACTGCTTTCTAAGCTGTCTTTGTTTTTGAACAAGCCTATCAATCTTCTGCTGCTGCCTTGACTTTACTATCTCTACTGCTGCTTTATTTCAACTCTCGCAAACTCCAAACCTTTGCACTCTGTATTCATAAACTACATCTCCCATTTTCTCTAGCTGCATCTCAACTGTCCCTTTCAGTACTTCTAGAGCATCTACCAGATCTGAATTAACTGTTGCCCATATGCCCCTTTTCACTAACCCTAGGCCAATGTACTTTTGGTTTTTGCCCTATGCCATTCTCCTTCTTTGGCTGCCTATTTTCACCACTCTCTGCTGTTCGGTGCTGCCTTCTGCTTCCTCCTCACTGGTAGGGATGTTGATATCCTGCACTCTCTGGTTACTCACCTGTTGCTGGATTTCACCCGACTGACGTGACTGGCTTCTTAGGAAGTACTGTTCAATGCGGGGTCCCTGACCACTATGCTCTTCACCTGCATCCAAGCACCTTTTCTGTCCCTGATGTATTCTAAGGCCTTGGTTTGATGTCACTTTGTTCCAGCCACAGTGACATACCTGCAGTTGTTTTTTTTTCTACCTTTGATACTTTTGTTTCTACTGGAGTGCCTACCCTATTCAGTATCAAATCTGTTCCAAGGTCAATAACCTGTTGTTCTGCCTATGAGTCATCATCCACCCCTGCTCTCGCTGACTCTCGGGGTATACTCTTTTTCTTACTTGTTGCTTGATTGTTGCAATCTAAATACATTACGCTGCTGCTGTCATGGGTTGCCACTCCCATGTGGCCCAAGTGGGGTCTATTCCTCATGTCAGCTGTCTTTCCAGAGTGTCACTTGATCTTTTCCTAGTTGTCAGCTGCCCCATTCACAACAGTTGTAGATGCAGGCATTCAAAGTGTCACACTTTTTCATCCACATAATATTTGCGGCGCATTTTCAGTAGCGCCGCATCAAGAATGCAGTGTTTTTATCCCTGCATGAGGCTCATAAAATCCAACATGCAGTTCTCCTTTTTCTCCTTTTGGCCACCAGATGTTGCAAAGCCTACTATACCATCCACCAACGGTATAGGTTCTGAATTGTCAGGCCATACAATATTTTTATCATACAGGTACTGCTTATAATCTGTTACACTGGGTTCCACATCTCTGGTCAAAGTCAGAGCAGCCTGTCTTTATTGTTTGGAGAGGATGGCAGCGCTACAAAAAGCATGGGTTCCACCTGCCCAGTTGCCTTGCAAACATTTGACTGAAAACTGCCCTTGCTGCATAAAGTTACAAATGAACTGTAACTGCATTTACTTTATAGTAGGTACGCCATGTGCTATTAATTGTAAATTTTACTGTTGTACACAACAGTCTGAATGCACTTCTGCCAAAATATGTAAATATGTTAGGGATGGGCAATGATATTCAAATAGTCATAAAAAAAACGAGTATTTCATGCAACTATGGTTATGTCTTCAAAAACAAAGAGCCAGTGTTTTCCCTGGCTTTTTCCGGCATCTTAAAATAATGTAATAACGAGGTCAGTATACCATTTTACTACAGCAGCAAATACAAACAAGAGAAATATGTAGAGACTACAGCCATCAAGAAGGTATTTGTGATCCTCGAATAGTTCCCAGTGAATATCGAATAGCATATTAGTTTGAAATGCCCATCCCTTGTATATGTATAAATAGATTTTCTTTTTTTCTCCTAGTCTCTTTTCTATTTTAAATGGACCTATTTTTCTATGTTCTTGTTGCCTGAAAAACACACATTTGGAATTTCTGTACTGGAGTAAAATTCCTTGTGTTTAAACATACATGGTCAGTAAACATGATTTTCATGAATGTCCTCACTAAATTGAATTAGTTATAAATTAGGTACATTTTTATAAGTGTACATGTGCAAATGAAACAAAAGGTCAGGGATCACCAAAATGGAACAGATTTATTTTATGGGGGAATGAGTAATTTTCTGCATAGTGTTGATCCGCATGTTGATCTTTCAGAACGGGGAAGAGAACTCAGTGGGGGCTGCTGATGGACGGCTGGAACTCTGTGATGCGATATTACAGAAACAACTTCTCTGATGGTTTTAGACAGGTGGGTCCAAACCTTTATGGGAATGATTCCACAGTATCTGCATAGATTAGTGATCTGTATTTTACAACCATATCTGTACATTGCGTATATGAAGTGTACAGTGAATTGAGAAAGTATTCATTCTTTCATGGTTTCCACATTTTGTTATGTTTCAGATCTTAAAATGGGTTCATTTTATTTTTTTTCACATCAATCTGCACACAAAACTCCACAATGACAAAGCAAAAACTGGTGGTTGGAGTGTTTTGTAAATGTATTAAAAATAAAATGCTGAAATATCACATTAGCGAAAGTATTCAGACCCTTCAGTATGCAGACTGAAGTCTTCTGAGAAGAAAGCTGTAAGCTTGGCACCTCTTTCTTTTGGAAATGTATTCCATTGTTCTTGGCAGAATCATTCAAAGTCAAGCAGGTTGGATGGGGAGCACTGGTGCACAGCCATTTTCAGGTCTCTCCAGAGATGCTGTATTGGGTTCAGATCCAGACTGGCAGGGCCATTTCCAGGATTTTCACAGAGTTGCTTTGGGTTGTTGTCTTGCTGAAATGTAAACCTTCACCTAACCTGAGATCCTAAACGCTCTGGAGAGTTTCATTCAGAATTACTCTGTATTTTTCTGCATCCATTCTTTCCTTTATCCTTATTTGTCTCCTAGTCCCAGTCGCAGAGAAACATCCCCACAGCGTGATGCGGCCACCACTGTGTTTCACTATAGGGATGGTATTAAGGTGATGCTCAGTACCTGGTTTTCTACACACATGCCGCTGGGAATTGTGGCTAAATAAGGCTAAACAGGGAAATTGTGTGTACATAATTATGAAGGAGTCACAGTAGAGTTTTGCGGTGGAGAAAGTAAAGAAATGCGGCACTGTAGGAGTTTGTCGGGTCTCATGCAATATGTACTTTAAGGTGTTCTTGTTCATGGAAGCAAAAATCAAGGAGGAGAGAATGGAAATTTATAGAAATACTCTTATTGCGCCGACTTACCACTGCCGCAAGAGAGGTAACTGTGGCTAAAATTTTACGTCAGGATAAAGCAGGTGTAAAGTTTGCAGCACTGCTGTCAGGGTGATGGCTGTTAGTCATCTGAGACCTTTTTCTGAGTTAAAACCATGTATGATGAGAGAGAGGAGTGTGTGTAAATTGCATCGCTTGCCAGTGGAGAATGTGAAGGATTTGTATAGGCTTTAAGGTCCATCCATGCTTCAGTTACTGAACAAAATAAAAGATTATTTGACTGGCAGTAGATTAAATGATTGACATTCCATAATGTGTTTGTTGATTTCTTCAACCATATTAAAGTTTGGTCACTGTAAACATAGACTTCCTATGGGTCCCCACATGTGCAACAGCCTTGAGGCAACAGATCAGAAGCGGAGGTGTATTCAAATTAACACAGCTGCAAATGTGCTCATTTACATCACCACTATTGTCAAATACCCCTCTAAATAATAATATTGCAAAGCCACAATGTTTCTGTGCCTGATGGTAATTTGACACAGACAGTATCAACAGAAGAGTTTATAGGACACTGGCATAACATATGCAGTGCTTTTTCTAGCTGTATTTTGCATTTAGTACATGGGCTCCAGAAAGAGATTTCATTCACTAGTCAAAGCACAGGATTGTCTTAGTGGCTTGGATTTAAATCACGAAGAATCTCCTGTGAAATAACTAAGAATGTAACAAACTATGAAAACTCGATAGGACTTTTGCTCCTCATACTTGTAGGAGAATCAGTTGTCTGTGTTATATTAACTAAAGTCAATATATGGTGAATCCTGACATATATATATATATATATATATATATAAAACATATC